CTATGTGGAGGGCAGTCTCGAGTGGAGTGGCACAGGGCTTGGTCCTAGGCCGGTGTTGTTCAATGTTTTTATAAATGACCTGGAGGAAGACATAGAGGGGATGCTTAGCAAATTTACAGATGACACGAAGCTGGGTGGTATTGCTAATTCTGAAGAAGACAGAGTCAGGATTCAAAATGATCTAGATAGGCTGGAACAGTGGGCTGAGACAAATAAAATGAATTTCAATAGAGGTAAGTACAAAGTCCTACACATAGGTACAAAAAATTAAAGGCACAGATATAGAATGGGAGGGACTTGGCTTGACAGCAGCACATGTGAAAGGAATCTGGGTGTTCTGGTTGATCACAAGCTAAACATGAGCCTACAGTGTGATGTGGCTGTGAAGAAAGCTAATGCAATCTTAGGATGCATTAAAAGAAGCATTGTGTCCAGATCACGGGAGGTGGTAGTTCCACTCTATTCTGCTATGGTCAGGCCTTACCTGGAGTACTGTGTCCAGTTTTGGGCACCACATTTTAGCAAGGATGTTTACAAGCTCGAGCATGTCCAGAAGAGGGCAACCAGGATAGTTAGAGGGTTGGAGTCCAAGTCTTACGAGGAAAGGCTGAAAGAGTTGGGTATGTTTAGCCTGGGAAAGAGAAGGCTTAGAGGGGACATGATTGTAGTCTTCAAGTATTTGAAGGGCTGTCATGTAGAAGATGGAGCAGATCTATTCTCTCTTGCTCCGGATTGCAAGACTAGATCTAATGGGTGGAAATTACAAGAGAGTCATTACCAGCTAAATATCAGGAGAAACTTCCTAACTGTAAGAGTAGTTGAGCAGTGGAACAGACTGCCTCGGGAGGTGGTGGATGCTCCTTCACTGGACATTTTTAAGCGGAGGCTGGACGACCATCTTTTGGGTATGTTGTAGGGCTATCTTTTGGCTGTGCTCCTGCAGAGTGCAGGGGGTTGGACTAGATGACCTGCAAGGTGGTTGGACTAGATGACCTGCAAGGACCCTTCCAACTCTAACATTCTATGATTAAGAAAGGGCCTTAAAACAAAAGACGACATTCAGAGTGTTAAAATGTTCAGCCTTTTCAACGAATCTCAACTTTCATTCTGTGTGCAACCATCTCTCATTATAATTTTGGACTGCCTTATGAATTTCCTTAACCATAAGTCATCTTCATAAGGAGGGCACATATTTGGTACACACTCTTTTTACCATGCATTCTCGGGCAACGTGGAGAATGGATGGTATATATGGACATTCAGTTTGTAAAATTCTACTTCTTTTTGTGGGGGAAGATAGGCACATTTGCATTTCATGTGTGTCATATGTTATGGGGCATGTGAGAAATAGCAATGAATTTAACTCAGAGCCAGTGTGGCGTAGTAATCAGTGTGACACTAGGGCCACAGACACCCAGATTTATATTTTCACTTTGTTATGAAATTATCTGGGTTTTGATGGACCAGCCAGTCCCTCTCAGCCTATCGTATCTCATGGGGTTGTTGTGAGGATAAAATGAAGAAAGAGGGAATTACAAATCTTCTTCATGCTGCTTTGACAACTGTGTGCTGCAAACCACAGCAGGTAGGAGGAATCCCAAAGAAAAGCAACTCCATCTGTCTTTAAGTAGTTAATAAACCAGAGATTTTGCTTGAGATTTCCAGTATATCTTGCTATTTTGGTTGTAGTAGTAGTAATATTTTCTGACTTATGACCTGTGGAAAAATAATGTAGAATCATGACCTGCCTATTTATATAGTGTAAGCCTATTCACATATCAGATAGCTTGAGTAAAACCAATGCAAGGAAACGGGACAGCAGTAGCCCATGCCAGATCTGTGCAGGACTGGGAGCAAGGCCTAGTGTGGCCTGGTCTCAGGAGAGACCAGTGTGAGAGTGGAAAGTAGACAGCCTACAATCCCCATAAGGCTTAGCAACGGTTGTAGCCAATCAGTTTCCAGAGATTCTGTGAGGCGATTCTGACTTAAGCTGTTAACTGTGAAAAATGGTGTTCTTTCGTTTCTCATCTGCGGTCGGGTCTCACAAAGGGGACAGGCTGGTTTGGTGAGAGAAAAAGATCCCTCACTGGGGACAGAGTGAGAACAGGTAGCGAAACCTGGCAGGCGGCTTTGAAGTAGTAACCAGTTCAGCGAACTAGGTTAGGTTTGTGTTTATTTTGCCTTTTAAACACTTATATCTTTTAAAGCACCTTGTCTTGTGTTCCTTGCCCCAGTACTGTGTTAATAAACCATTTGTTTAATTGTTCTCTGCCTGGTCATCACGCCTATGTTCTCGGCTTAAAAAGGGGCATTTTGGATGGGCTTGGGAGAATACTCTGGGCCTTCTCAAGGGACCTGAAGTCTAGAGTGGCAGCGGCGGAAGGTGGCGACCCCCTGGGGTCATGATACCATGTCTGGCTCCACCTACCTCATCCCTAGCCTTGCACACCAAAATTACATAATGGTAAAACAGTAAGTATAAGCGTATAGCCTGACATTAAAATTCTCAGTAAGTACAATTTTCACTTCCCCATCAATTTTGAAGGATATGGATTATTCCTTATGGGGTATAAGTATGTAAGACTACATGCAGATATGCATCATTATATCAAACACATGGGGACCACATTAAGACAGGCACATTAGGCACAGTGTGATCCCCTCTGTCCCACACAGCACTGAGTTTACCCAACAGCTCTTGTGCCTAACTTACTCAAGCACGTGTCTAAGAAACTAAGAGGATTATTTCTCAAAGCACAGGTTGCAACACACGTTAAAAACATGACACAAACAATACTAAGCAGTTTCCTCTGAGAGCATCCAAAATTGAAAGCATTGCACAGGAAATAAAAGAAAGGCTAATCTTAAATTCTGTATTTTAGATATTGCCTAGGTCATCTGGAGTCTGTAAAACGGAGTGATGGAGCTTCTCATCCAGCTGTAGATCTTTCTGTTCATTGTGATCTGCACTCAGAGTAGCAGGCGATGGCGTCTGGGACCGTGATCCAAGAGCAGACTGGATAGGTGAAGCACTTTCGGAACCTGCAAGTAACAGTTTAACTATCAGAACAAATTGTATTTATTCAACCTTTACTCTGATTGTCAAGCTACATTCATGCTTACTCTGAATATCCAATTATAGCAAAAGGGGAAATTATACCTTGAGATGGGAGTTCGTACTCTAAGCTGGCCAACTTTGTTACGGATACTGAAATAACTAAATATTATTTACTGAAGAAATTACTTCCCCCAAACTCTTTTTAGTGTATTGTATTTTTTATGTTCATGTTAGCTATAATATTAAACCATAATTATTTCATATAGGTCTAAGCTTGAAAGAACAGCAGAAGCAAAGTTAAGTCAGGACAGGGTTGCTATTTATAGCCCAGAAGCCTAGTAGACATCACATAGGCATTTGATTGCACACATCTAGAAACAAGAATGCTGGACTAGAGCAATTGTGGTCTGATGAGGCAAGGCAATTCCTTATGTGTATAAACATTCATTTTACAAGCATCAAATGTCTTGCATCAAATCTCTGAACTGTGTTTTAACCTTACAGAACCTTAGAGAACTTTAGGTATCTTCAGGGTTTGGAGAGGGAAGCTGCTAAATATGAAAAAACTGAATATGCATGCAGCCATATCATACACATGCATCTGAATCACAGCTAACTTTAGGGTTTTTTTCATATGAAAAACTGAATATTCAACATGTATTTTATACTACATTTCCAGTTTTATTATAATTCAATTCAATGAAGCCAGTGGCAAAGAAGTACTTGCTTTGCACCAACCTACTTTCACGATACACCACAGTTCTCTATACAATGCTTCTAAGAGCAAGACTGCAAAATCTCACACGTGTAATCAACTGTATTACCTTAGAATCTGTATAGCAGCCCTAGGTTCAGACACATCTGCCACCTACTGACCACCTTCAATGTTACACTGCTAAAATGATCACTTAACTGAGGAGTTAAATGTACAAAAGAACTGGTTGAGTTAAGGAAGAAAGCCTCTAAAAGACAAGATTTTATGTGGAAACAGTCCATCATATAAATACAAATCTTAGAAACCTGTAATGCTTGTTACTGAAACTATATTAGTTAAGCTACAATACAGCACAAAACTATATTAGTTAAACTACATACAAAAATACACAGAAACTGCACATCTTTGCTTTTAATACAGGGAGAGAAGAACAACAGAAATATCTACACTGAGTTTGTTTTCGCTGCTCAATCTTACCAGTAACAGTTGCTACTTCAGCAGACAATGGTTGCTGATTGAGACTGCTGGTTTCAGAATCGATGTGAAGTGTTGTCAGACTAGCCACTTCCTGTTCTTCAGCACTTTGCTGAGGTCCTGAACCTGCATCAGACTCCACAGAAGCTGCTGTGCCACCCTCAGGAGCAAAACTGAAATCTACAACAAAGAAGAAAAGGTTAAATGCCCAATGCTCAGATCTAGATTAAATGTATAGCTTTTACTCATTTCAGAAACATAGTTCTCTGCTTTTATAGATGCTGAAGAGCAGAAGCAGGTACTTTACCCTGCCTTATTATGTAAGGCAGAACTATATTTCATATCTAAAGGTGGGGCCAAGCCTAGATTTGTTTTCTTATCCTACTAAGAAAATGAATTCCTCCCACTTTCTCTCTTTCTGCTCCCAACCCCCCAAAAGGAATTAGAATTACCACTAACTCAGGGCAAGGCTTTTTACAGCTTGCTTGTGCCCCTGCTTGCAGACATCAAAGATAACCTGTACACCTGTACAGAAACGGAAAAGATGAAGATGGATTCCCTTCAGCAGGTTGGAAAGCAGATGGCAAAGGGTAAGCTCCTCTCCAGTCAGAAGGCACAGACAGCAAACAATGCCTCATTTTGAGAGAAACTCTCTCCCAATTTCAAGACATGACCAACTCAGAAAGAAACTGCTATTAAAAATAGGGGTGGGGGCGGAGAACAGTCTTGGATTCCCAGACTGGGCTAACTAGTAAAAGAGAAAAAACACAAATAAAAATACCATATAAAGTTAGGAAAGGATTTCTACACAAATCTGTACCTGCACTGACAGGGCCCTACTGCAATAATGCAAACTCACCATCAAAAACACTTGAAAGATACAGCAGGGAAGAGCTGTCTGCTTCCTGAAGACAGATAGATCAAGTGTGAGTCTATGGACAACTAGACGTTGCTAAGCTCAACTGAGGAATCTGGATGCAGAAGAAACATCCTACAAATTCTTTTCTGGCAGGTGTTGGGGTGGGAGGGGAGACAATGGTAAGGAGTCTGCTGCTGTCCTTTTCATAGGTCTCAAACCAAACAGCGGCAACAGAGATGTCTGGGCAAGTAACACTGGAGGAGAGGTGAGGAAAAAAAGAACCCAACTGCTCAGATCCTTCCCCTTCCACGATGAGGGAGCTGCCCAAATTCAGTTTTGCTCAAGGCTGTAAAGGCCATAACCTATGTCTGCGCTCACTCTTCCCTCCCTTGCTTTATTAAAGAGCACCAGGTCAAACAAAGAAAGAAAATCAGGAGGACAGAAAATATGCAACTGGCTGGTTGGAGCAGTTACTCCAAAAGCACTACCCAAGTAGAAGAGACCCCCATCCTCCATCAGAAAGCAAATAAAAAACCTAGGAGAACTCAGAGGTGGACATCAGATTCACTGTTGTTACCTTTGGACTGAAGAGGAGTTGACCCTTTGCAGCCTGTTCTCCTACTAGCTGAATGAGAAAGGTGGTGCAACTTCAGAAATCCTCAAGCAATTCCAGACACCATCAAGCTCCCAAGAGCCTCAAGCAAGGAATCTGCAAGCTCCACAGTTCTTTCCAAACTTTTCTCTAAAGCTCCTCACACTCAGGGAAGTGTCTTGCTTATTTCTACCACCTTCACAAGAAACTCTCATCTCTAACGTAACAGTCCCAGTAGAAAACAAACTTTCAGTTTCCTATAACTCTCCTCCTTCCTCCCACTGGGAAGAAATCTGGAGCATACCTAGGAATCCTAAACAAGCCATTTTATGTGACCACTACAATGTGCAATTTGCTTCCCTCTTGTTCCTTCCCCCATCACTAATACAGATTTAACTGCAAAAGCAGAGGAAACAATGTGGTTCCTTCCAGTATAAATACTGCTTGGCCACCTGCTAGGAGACAATAGGACAGCAAGCTGTTCCCAAACTGAGTAGTGAAAACACTCAACAAGAAAACTACTGAAGCCATGGCCAATTCGACGCTGCTCTGATAGCAGTTTGCCCTGGAGAGCCAAAATTAAAAAAAGAAAAATAGGGACATGGGCTAGCGAAGGGTACTGCCAAAACAACTGAATAGCTAGTGCTAGGTACATCCTGTGTGTCCCTGAACCAGTGCAAGGGATGGCCTTGGCTTAAAGCATTGTTTTCTAATTTTGGTTATAATTCAAAACATAAAACACAGCATAAATATTATATGCTATTATAACATTAAGTGCTTCGGTGTCCATTTCATAGACATCTTAAGGAGATCATGAAGCCACAGTACATTGTTTCCATAAAGGCCTCTCTTCAAGCCACCTTTGTTTTACACAGCTGTCATTTCAGTGAGATGAGGGCAAAAACATTCCTTGTGGATTTCATTCTGGTTCACGCTTCTTGAACAACCCTGCTAATGGCAAATTTGATCTTCACAATGACACTTGCTGAACAAAGCTGATTAAAAAAACAAACTAATATGCAGCAGATGTTAGAGACCCAGGGGTAAGTGCATGTGGGAATACTTGCTTTCAAACTTGTGGCCATCATACTGGAATGCGCTGAAGGAGTCCGAATGGCTATCTGAACTGACAAGGTCACTGCTGCCTGCACTGGCTGGAGATGTCCATTCAGAAGGCACTCCTGGGTCATCAGCGGGCCGCATTTGACTCTGCTTGTTTAGTATGTCAGGAAGGTCCTTTGGAACTTCTAGGCTTCCTGGACTGCTCCCTCTTCTCGTCACATTCTAGTTGAATATTTGAAGTAATTTTCAAAAAATGTCTTTACAATCTGAAAATATTTTCATGTTCCTATTTCACATACTAAGTTGACAAGAAACAAACACTAAAATATATCTAGCAATCACCAATTTAAAGTCAAAACCTGGTTTTTCAAACAATGACATATTTTCCCCATTTATATACTGCATAATAACTGTGATCATTTTAATTTGGTTATTTCCTTTGTTGCAAAAAGATTTTTAAATGTTCTCTTAGCCCACCCATTAAATAATACAGCCTCAGTCTAACTACACCTAAGACAAATGAATTACCTTTTTTACAAACAAAACACATGCACACATTTAAGTGGAACCTACAATACTCAACAGGCATCAGGAATAAAAAACTAGACAGATGAAAGTGTTAGCAAAACATTTAAAATAAACACACTCTAATACTGCATTTGCTAGCAAAGGGGCTGTCAATGCAACGGGGCCCAAGTGCTACTGAGCCTCTCTCCTGGTGGTTCTGCATTACCTTCTTCCTCACTTTTTCTTTTTGCTGCAGCTTTTATCCACCCTTCCTGCCCCCATATTTATTGATGCCACTGGCCAATCTACACCACTTTAACACAGTGGGCCTTTGTTGGTAGAGGAGTCAGACTGCCTCTGTCTGTTTTACCATTTGCGTGACAAATTTTAAAATAGTTACTATTTAGAGGAATTACTTAATGATATAGGTTGCAATCCCGAGGAAACCTTCCTGGGAGTAAGTCTCATTGAATAACTTTGGGCTTACTTTTGAGTAGACCCACTCAGGATTGCTCCAACAGTCACCTAAGATTTGCAACAAACAGAAACCTATATACTAATATTGAATTGCTATTTTTTGTCTAGATATAATGCTGAGATATTACCAGAGTTTGTTTTTAATGAACATAACATGCCTCTGTAGCCCACTAAAGACTTCATCTACTGTCCTCTATCTTTGCTATAGTCAAATAAGCAAATGAAAGTTCTGAGCATGTCCATCTGAAGTAAAAGTTCCCAGGTGAGGGAGGGCTGGTGCACACCTGCTCATCAACTGATGATGGTAACATCGAGCAATGATGCTCAATATAAGGACAAACTAGGCAAAGATCAGACACCTCAAATCATCTCAAGCACACTGCTTTCCAAGGGTGTAAGTCTACACATTCAACTGCAAATCATCAAGTATTCCTAAGGGACAGAGAAATATGGACACATATAGCTGGGACATCAACTAAGAAAGAGATTTGGGGAGACTGAAGATAACTCTGTCAGGATTTGATAAGATGGAAGTATGTGACAGTGACGGTATTACCTAAGGACTAAGACTGCAGTGAGCCTTTCCTCTTTCTGCAAGATGGAGAAAGGGGATCATAAAATAGGGCAACTTGAAATTAACTGGTGGGGGGAATCAGCCCTATGAAATTTAGTGTCTCTTAGGCTACTTTGCTGCATCACTAATAATAATTGTTGATTCAGTAACTTAATTAACATCATCATATTTGATATTTTAAGATAAAAAGAAAAATTCAAAAGCTTACCAAAGCACTACCACTGCGCAGTCTTTCTGCTATAAACTCATCCATGAGATCAGGAATATTTGTATTACTATTCCCATTATCACTACCCAGAGGGTTCTGCTTTTGGCTCATATCCTCTCTATTGGCTAAAAGCAAATGAATGACTGTATATAGTAAAGAAAAATTTCAACAACAAATATTTCTAAAAGTACTGAAAAACTAGCAATACAAGTTTATTTCCAAACATGCACTTAAAATCACTTTTCTCTTAAACAGATTTAGTTTTAAGAATTAGTAGATCTAGCCATTCCCACCCATCCTACCATCACCACTGAGCAAGTGTTAGTCAATTTCTGGTGTGACCTTGAAAAGAGCAAGAAAGCTTACAGATAAGCACTACTTAAAGTTGTTAATGCTTGCTTCAACATACATTCTTCATTCCTCCATATCACCAAACACATAATATACACCACTGAACTCTGCCAGTGTATGCGAATGAGGAATATGTAGGTAGGAAGTACCACTTCAATGCAGTACTGTATACACAGAGTACATCTACATAAAATGATAACAATGATAAAATGACATGGTATGAAGACAAATAAGAGTTTCAAAATGATCAGTGGTTTAGGATCCATTACTACATCAGCACAGAATTACACTTTTAATGATACTGTGAATTCTGTTAAATTTTTGGTATTTTGATCTTGAAGACTCCAATTTTTCCCCTGATTTATATTTGTCCGTAACCAACAGTTGTTCCTTCGAGAATGTAAAGCAACCATGCTGTTAAATTTGAGATGTACTTAATTTTTATATTCTAAAACTTGAAATATTAAATTTCAAATGCTGTTACCTAAATACTCTTAGAATCCAGACTGCATGTATTTTCTAAGAAATTTACTAAACAGCACATTAAAACAAAGTCAGTCTGAAAGAATCTAGGGAATTGCTGCCCAGTTTGTTGTGATCTGCTTACAAAGAGTGCCCTCAGATGGCATTAACATCTCAATGCAGGATGCATTACAGAACATAATCATGCTAGCATACAATATAAAAAACAGCCAAAAAACCTACCTCACTGCTGAAAGTTAACTGATTGATCTTTTAAGGTTAATTAATATGTGAACTATGATGGTGATATTAGAGCGACAGCAAGCCTTGCCCGTTTTGGTAAGCACATAGAGGCTTCATAGTTAGCTCAAGGAGAACTATCACAGTACCTTTATGCACTTCCACAATCCCAGTAAAAAGCAATGAGATGTTGTTAGGAAAACGGTGCATCCATTCCAGTGAATGCACACAGAAAGCACTAAAGCATGTCTTTAAAATGTCTCAAAACAAAAATGGCTAAATCTGCTCTGGATTGTTATGATCAAATAATCCAAACTTGAAATTTCAACATCTGATTCGGTGTTTTCAGGAAGAGGAGGAAGAAAACCAGATTGAACCTAAAATTGGCTCGACTGCAATTATTGGTAAGCAGGAAGGTGAACTATAAATATCCAAACTACTTTTGCTGTTGGAAAGCTTATGTGTGCCAATTATATACAAAAGACTGAATTTCAAGACCTACCAGGAAAGGAAGGGTAGACAGACCCCTTGGTAGGCCATTTACTGTCTCTTCCTCTTCCCTATCTCAAGTGTTCAGCAGCAAAGTGGTTCACTAAATGTTTTTAAAAGGATAATTAGTAATTTAAAGTTTATAAATACAACTTATGCTTGGGGGGGGGGAATTCAGCTGGCCATACGCGCATGCAAAACCAAACAGGAAAAGCACTGATCATCCCAAAGCCTTTTGATTGCTTTATAAGAGCTTGCTTCAGGTGCATTAAGCCAAACTGGTGCTGCCTTTCTCCTTTCGCACTCTGCACACTGTTAGTGCTCACCTGCAGCTTTCTTTCCAAAATAGCCCAATACATGACTGTACAGATCCCTCAGTGGAGCCTCTGCTGGCACTCTGTTCTGCCTCTGTGGGGAAACATTTGCCTTCGGCTTCGAAAGAGCATGTACAACAGTTTTATAAACACCACCCAGGGAGCCCTGCTGTTGTCCCGACTCCTGACTCGCTGGTTTAGGTGGGCTACGATTGGACATCTGATTTACTCCAATACTTTCTTTCTGCAATGAGAAAGCTGGAACTTCTCCCGAATCTTTAATCTGTTTACTATTAGCAGAAGTTGTATTGATTGCATCTAGAGGTCTATATATTCCAGGTCTGACCAGCACGGCCACAGCAGATGAGCCGGTGCTTGTGCTGCTGCTACTGCTACCACTACTGAAACCACTGAGTTTACGGAGCCTTGCTTTCCATGGGGCCTCTTTGTTTTCTAGAGGATTATAAAACTGAACTGATTCAGTAGATGGTCTAAACGTAACATGAACACTGTTTCGCTTTCTAGTTGCTATTTTCATGATTTTAGCCTTGTGAGTTACAGTTTCAGATATGCTTCTCTTGGTTGGTGAGACTTTGCTCATGCCTGTCACATGAAGCATTTCAGGGTTAACTAAGCCTCTAGGTGGCATTTTCTTTGCATGCATAACACTTGTGCTGATTATTTTTTCATTAAAAAGGGCACTTTTATGCTTGTCAGCTAACACTGTTTCCACAGATACATCTGCATCAGTGGCAATTTGTCTGTTCAAATATTTCTTCCTTTCTTGGTTAGTAGGGCTACTTAACCCATATTCAGGCAGGTTTTGGGCGTGCTTATCAACATTTAACTGTTTAGCTTTATCAGCGTGGTTTCCTGTCGAATCATCTACTTGTGTAGGTGCAATATTACTTATAAAGCCACTTTGGTTTTGCTCCCATTGCAGCTCTGCATTATTGATACTTGGTGCAACCGTGGTACTACTTGAGCATGTAACAGTTTGGTCTGTGTACTCTACTCCATCCAATGGTAATTTATCACTTTTACTTATTCCTTGAACTTCAAGAGGAAAAGGCACTTGTTTATCTATCTCAACGCTACTGCAAAGTTCTTCTTTTTCCTTAAGATATTCTCTCAGAGAGGAAAGAAGATCATCTTCACCTTCAAGGTCAATATATTGGTTTTGTTCAAAGGCTGTAAATTCAAGTTCTACTGGGCCTACCAAATGACAGAGATGGTCATAAATACTATCCCCAACTTCCAGAGAGGACTCTCTGCTATTTGAATCAGTAACGTGACTTTCAGTGGATCTACATATTGAAGAGGCCTCAGTGGAACTCTGTAAGCTTGGAGCATGATGGGATGAACCGTCAATGACAGGAACTGCACCTTTGACTCGTTCAACTGTGAATGGTTCCAGGATGTCAGATGTGCTGCTACTTCGTGGTAGTGGCTGTTCTTCATTCAGCACATCAAAAACTTCACTGGGTGTTTCCTCACTTTGTGAAAAATGTCTGACTCGAGATGGACGTGGGAGGATTTGAGCATCATCCATGTCTGTAGAAAAAGTATGGCCTTAGTATTTATCTGCATAATATATTTCTTATAATATTATTTATTCAATGCTACAACATAATAATGATCTTTAAAAGTAGCCCAAAGTATTTCCTTAACAATGAAATATTTTCTATCAAAAACTAAAAGAGTGTTAAAAATGCTGGCACACAACACACACTATCAAGTACAAAAGTGAGATATAATTGAGTTAGAACATCAGAACACAGTCTTAAAATATTAACATGCATAGAAACTGACAGCAAGATTATGGAAGATTTGGAAATGCTGTTTAAAACTAGAGCTGTGCCAATAAATTATCAAATACTTATTTAATTGACAGATTCACAAAAAAAGTTTATATATTATGCCCCCTATAAAAGAACCCCCTAGAGAAACAGAATTTCATGAAATATGCCACTCAAGAGCTGTTTCCAAAATTTTGGTCACAAGATGACTCATTGTGCAGAGGTAGCTACATTATCTTTCATCATTCAGTAGACTCTTACACAGGTGTATGGAGAATTCTAAAACAGATTTACAATAAAGGACTGGGTTGATACCTACATTTTTCTCTTGTTTTCCCAGGTGCTAGGGTAAATCACCCTTGCTCAACTGAATGAAGGCTTCCTCCTCTCCAAATTCTAAGTGGTTAGGTAAGGAATGCTGCTCCCCCCATTCAACCACCAATCAGGATCTTTCAAAGCAGCTAGTATCACTAAAAACTGGAAACTTATTTCTTTTAATAGCCAGGAAAAAAGCTTTACCAGTGCTTTAGAGAAAGGCTAATAAATACCGAACCAACTGCTTATGATTACAGAACAGTTTTATTTCTCCTTTTTTTAAAAGAGCAAAATTATATATGGATCTTTTCCAGAACATCCCCTGGTTCCATTAGAGTACACTGAAGTAGCACCTGGAACAAGAGTAGAACCGAATCTTCCTTCTCTCTGCTATTCTAAATGCTAGCCCAAAGAATCATGCCCTCTGTGGTTAGAGATAACCACCAACCACATTCAAATTTACACACATGGTTACAGTGTTCACTGCTTAAGAAAAATAATTTCATAATTTCCTGCAAAACCTATGGCAAAAGGCTGCCTCCTCTGTCACTAAGGTCTCTATAATGCCCAGAGGAGTTCATAAAAGCCCTTGCAGCTGGCTTGAACATCAGCTTCAAGGAGGTTCTGGATAGAAGTCTACGGAAATCTACTAAATTGAAAATTGTACATACATCTGGGGAATCATCCCTGCAGCAATTAAACATTCAGGATGCAAGTTTTAATAAACTCTGAACTGGAGGCTATTATGCTCTTATTCACCTTTTCATAATAAATGAGCAGAGTCTACCCAAAACAAATGAGTCCTCTGAATAAAGATTTTTACTTCTCATCTTCAATATAAAGCTTGGGGCAGAGTTGCCAGATTACTGTGGAGCACACATAGTTTAGATCAAGAATGCAGCAGTAGAAAAGAGTCCAGTAGCACCTTAAAGACTAACAAAATTTGTGGTAGGGTATTGTCTGGACCCATGGCAAAGAAGCCTTGAGAGACCAGGCTTTCCACAACTTTTACCCCACCATCAATCTAACTATGAATTACTCTACACAAGAAATAAACTTCCTGGACACCACACTACAGATACACAATGGACACATAAGTACACATTATACCAGAAACCAACATATCAGCAAACATGTCTACATGCCTCCAGCTACCACCCCGACCACATCAAACAATCCATTGTATATAGCCAAGCCCTACACTATAGTTGCATCTGCTCCAACTCCTCAGATAGATATACTCACTTGAAGACTTTTTTGCAACTACAATATCCTCCTGAGATGGTGAGAAAGATGATCGGAAAAGCCAGAATGATCCCCTGGGATAGCTTGCTACAAGACAAGCCCAAAGAAAATGACAACAGAACACCAGTTCAACGCATTATTAATGACCTACAACCTAGGCTGGATAGTGACACTTCCCTCACACAGGTACGGGGTGTATGTGTGTGTGTGTGTGTGTGTGACCTTTTCTTGCTTACAGACAGCCTGCTAACATAAAACAACTTCTCATCCTCAATGATAAACTACTTAGCAGTAACATGGACTCCGGTACCAAGACCTGTAACAAACCAAAATGCCAATTTCACTCTCACATAGATCCTAGCAACACTATCAGTGGACCCAGCAACATCAGCCATACCACCTCAGGTTCATTCCCCCAATCATCCTCTAATGTGATATATGCCATCATGTGTCAGCAATGCCCTTCCACCCTCTACATTGACCAAACAGGCCAGTCCCTTCAACAAAGAATTAATGCACATAAGTGTGACATCAGAAACCACAACATTCGAAAAACAGTGGGGGAACATTAACCTTCCAGGACATTCAGGTGCTGACCTAAAAGTAGCAGTTATTTTATAAAGGAATTTCAAAGGGAGAGAGACTGCTGAACTGCAACCGATAACGAAGCTCAAGACAGTGCATCCACCTGGATTGAACGGAGTCCTGGGTTTCCTGTTTCATTACCAGTGCTGATTTCTCCATACCTACTACCTCTCTGAATATCACACCTGCTACTGTCTTTTGCCTTCTAATGTCATTTGGCATCTGAAACCACTCCACTTTCTAATATATAGGACAGATGCACTTGCATTTTAGCTGTATCTGCAGAAGTGAGCAGTGACTCACAAAAGCTCATACCCTACCACAAATTTTGTTGGTCTTTAAGGTGCTACTGGACTCCTTTCTACTGCATCTGTTTGGGTAGAAGAGCTCCCATCTTCTTAACTTGAAGTGGCTGAAATCAGTCAGACCCCTTCCCTTAGTTGTTGTTGTTCAGTTGCACAGTAAAGTCCGACTCTTCGCGACCCCATGGACCATCTCCCGCCAGGCCCTCCTGTCTTCCGCCGTCCTCTGAAGTTAGTGCTTATCCTTAGTTAGTGCTATCCTTAGCAGAGTTGCATTGTTCTATGCCACTGAAGCCTAGAACTTAGAAGGATGTAACTGTGCTTAGCATGGCACTGCTTATTATCTAAAGGTCGAACCAACTGGCCTGACTGTTAACCCCCTCAATATAAATGATTCCATTAGGTGACAGGTCTAACATTATGCAGTCTAACAGCAGGCTGGTTTCTGTGCATAATTCCTCAGACTGGTGCCACACTGCACAACCTTGATTCAAATCAGATAAGCATTCTGTGGCAGGCTAGTCAACAGCCCAACATTCCGGGGATGAGTTGTGGAACTGGCTTTTATCCTACAGCCATATAGGACAGATCATCTTGAGATATGATAAAGTGGTCAATATGAACAGTCTTGTTCTGGAGATTTTTCTTTCGATGTCTGAGAGTCACAGCCATTAAAAACCCTAGAAACTTGTGTGTCATAATCAAGTGATTTTCAAAATGCTTTAAACTGATAAGTATTAATGCTTTATGTTCTAGAACTCTGAATGTATCTTGGTTTCTAAGTTTGTGTGGAAAAAATAAGGTCTTTGTTACTGTTATTATGCCTCTATTCTAACAGTCTTATTTTGCCTCTCAAGAGTGAAATGTAAGATTCCAAGTCAGCGTCCAGGCAAAGCAATCAGCAAAGAGCTCAGAAGAGTGTATTTTCTCTCCACTCCATGGGTGAATACCATAAGGCACTGGACTGTTATGGGAGCATTGTGTGCCTCCTGTATCCCCATCTGGCCCTCCCTCCTGCCTTAGTGAAAGTTACTTGAGCTCAGAGTTCAAGTAACATCAGGTGAGAGGGAGGGATGGTCAGCATTAAAAGATATGCATATGAGTCTCCCACTGATGGTGTGGGATGTTTCAGTGCACAAATCTATTGGGGAGGAAGGGTTCTATTGCACCTTATGCTGATCTGGTCACATGTGCAGTCCAGCTTTCACCCGGGACACAGGACGGAGACAGTGCTGGTCACCCTTACTGACGACCTCCGGAGGCATCTGGATCAGGGTGGTTCGGCAGTGTTGCTGCTGTTAGATCTGTCGGCCGCACTTGATATGGTCGACCAACAGCTACTAGCCCACCGCCTCGCTGACATGGGGATACAGGGGCTTGCCTTGAAGCGGCTTGTTTCTCCAAGGTCGGGGACAAAGGGTTAAGCAGTCCCGGAGGCACCTGCTTGAGTGTGGAGTGCCTCAGGGGGTGGTGCTTTCCCCAATGCTCTTTAACATCTACATGCGCCCCCTTGCCCAGATTGCCCAGAGGTTTGAACTGGGATGTCACCAATACGCTGATGACACCCAGCTCTATCTGATGTTGGGCGGTCAGTTGGACTCCAGACTGGAAGATCTGGACCGGGCTGGTTAGCTCAGGCTGAGTCGGCTGAAGCTAAACCCGGTGAAGATGGAGGTCCTGTGCCTGAGTCGGGGCGGTTCGGGGTTGGGGCTCCAGCTCCCGGCCTTCGATGGGGCACCACTAGTGCCTGTGCCCCAACCCAGACCGCCCCGACTCAGGCACAGGACCGCCGTCTTCGCCGGGTTTAGCTTCAGCCGACTCAAGTGCCTGTGCCCTAAACCCAGTGAAGACGGAGGTCCCGTGCCTGAGTTGGGGCGATTCAAGGTTGGGGCTCCTGTTCCTGGCCTTCAATGGGGCACCACTAGTGCCTGTGCCAGTGGTTAGGAGTTTGGGAGTGCTCCTGGAACCCTCCTTGACAATGGAGGCCCAGGTAGCAGCCACTGCTAAGTCGTCCTTTTACCATCTGCAGCTGGTTTGGCAGTTGGCTCCCTTCCTTGATCGCGACAACCTGGCTACAGTGATCCACGCAATGGTCACCTCGAGGCTAGACTATTGTAACGCTTTCTACATGGGGCTGCCCTTGGCGCAAATCCGGAGGCTGCAGCTAGTGTAGAATGCCGCAGCCAGGCTACTGATGTGTCTCCCTAGATGGGAGCACATCCGGCCAGTGCTCAAGGTGCTGCATTGGCTGCCAATAGCATACCGAATTCACTTCAAGGTGCTGGTACTCGCCTTTAAAGCCCTATAG